CCATCCAGATGCAGCAAGCCGTTCAGGCGGTGAACAGATCATTGTGGTATGTGTGAGTGTGTGGAATGATGCGGAGAAAACGGTGCTGACTGATGTGAACTGATGTTTCGGCCTAGGTGAAAACGCCAGTGATTTAACTGTGTGTATTGTAATGTGTGCTGCGTTCATCAAGAGCGCTGATGTTTCGTGGTTTGTATTGTAATGTATGTAAATAACTGTATCTAGTAGTACGTCGGTCCTTTAGTATGCAAGGCGTGCAGTGCTGCTGAGGAGATGAGATTGATCGTGAACCGGTGTTCGATTTTAGGTGAAGACCCGCATGTTTTTACCTTCGTGTTGTACTGTAGTTTAATAACTGTATTAACCCTTGCCTGGAATGATATGCGATTTCATAAGGCACGCGTAATGTACGAAATATGTGCACGCCCATTTGCCGTATATTGTTTGGTTGCTCGATTTGTCTTTTGTCTACGCATCAACATCGTTGTCAAGAGCGTTCTGGAGGGCGCTCGCGATGCTAAGTTGAAGTTCTACGATTCATGATGTGACTAGCAACCGCTTGTTTAGTTTTCTCATATTTGTATCTGCTCTGTTTGCAAGTAAACTGCACCTGCAATGCATGTAAGCAAACTGTGTGTTCCTACCTGGTTTGTAAATATACTATTGAGGTTCCCAATACTCGCTGATTTCCTTGTGCGTGGGGAGGGGGAGAGGACGTGAGTGCTTGGAGCGGTATCTGACATTGTGATGTTCATGACACTGGATGACATGACACTGGATTGAGTTGGTCAATTTATTTAGCGTGAAATACTAGCGGTCTTAACACATCAACGACGGGGAGATTTGTTCGAATCGATCCAAATTCTTAGATTTAGTCGAATTTTAAATTTGAAGGACATTGCAAGACCTTGCACATGATGCAATCGTACAAACTGAAACTAAATAATTGCAAAATATGTATTAATAACTAGTACGGCGACTCCCAATTAGTGGAAATCCAGTTTTGAGCGATATTGCAAAATTTTGCAATGTTGCAAGCAATTGAGCATCCAACTATTGCAAAGCACCCTGAGGATGTTGCCATTGGACTCAGCCAGCATCCTCGAATTGGACTGAGGAACTACAGAAACGTCGAAAAACGTCATTTTTCATAACCAATGCAATTGCAAGTGCAATAACGCCGAACTCCCGTGCATCAATGCGACACCTGGTGCACAGTACACATCGCCGTTACATATACACACAGCTCGGTCTCTTAGAAGCGTATGACTCCTTATGAAAGGAATTCAGCAGCAGCTAGAGTGGAAACCTGCAACTTTGAACGTTGACCTAACCATGACCTGACCTGACCCCTCGTGACCTTATGAGAGAAAGTTGATATGGCATAGATGCTCCTCGTTTAGACCCTTCGATTGCTGCCTCGTGCGTCGCGCTATGACCACCCGTTCTCGAGATAATAACAGCAGAAGCGGTTGACGCCGTTAGCGGTCATTACACGTTACGGCGGAAATTAGATGGCCCTACCTAGATTTGAACCCACGCCATTGCGCCACATTTCACTGGAACTTCTCTTTGCCTTTTGCCAAAGTACCGCACCTATTTTTTGTCGTAGGTCGTCCAAATACATACCAATCGAAAGAGAATTTAATAGGCTTTCAATGAAGCGTGAAGGTGAGGGTATGTGGCCATGAACGTTCGACGCAGGGACAGTCAAACCCGAGCTTGGCTAGAAAATGATGCTGATCGAAGGTTAAACCGAGGCTGAAATTTTTCTTTGAGCCCCCGGTACCGCAGTTAAATATCATTTAAATTTGTTTTCAATGGCTGATTCATGTAGAGCTTGAACAGACGATTATTTTGAGCGTGAAGGTGGCTGTGCAGATGGTCACTGCAATGTCACTGCAGTGTCTTTTATGTAAATTTAGCACAATTTCCCTATGGCAAAGGGGTGAACTGAGGTACCACATTTAGGTCCGTGGCCGCAATCTGGGCGCTACGTAGCTTGAGCCGTTTAGAGGTAACTGATGACCTAAGTCTTAACCCGCGCGGGGCTGGGGGGGGGGTAAATTTTACCCCCCCTCGCGAATATTTGCGATATCTCAAAAACGGCGGCGCGCAGCGCCGCCAAACTTTCAGTACCTTTTCTTACATCAATTTGACACGTTCCCTGAAAATTTGAGCGAAATCCGTCGGAAATTTTTTGAGAAATTGACGTTTTAGTGACGTCATGTTCGCCATTTTCGCCTCAAAAACGGCAAAAGTTCAAACGCCGCTAACATCTTCATTTTTAAAGGAATCAAGACGTAACAAAAAAGGTTATACGTAATTTTACTTTGTCTATCAAATGGCTATCTCGGTTTTTTGAAAATTTTGGATTTTGGCCTAAATTTTTTCAAAAAACTGATTTTTTGGGGAAAATCATTATAAAATCCAAAATTTTGAGTCTATCGAAAAAACCGGAATATATGTCAAAGAAGTGGTCTATGTGCACCTACATACCAAATTTTAGAAGAATCGGTTGAAAAATGTGGGAGTTATTCAAAATTTTATGACGTCACGACACACAAAATTTTTGAAAAATGACTTTTTTGGAAGTTCTAGACCTCGTACGGAAACAACAATAGCACCATTCGATTCGCCGTGAAAAACTGCATCAGATAGACACCCTTTTAGGCCTTAACAACCAACTTCAAAATTTGACCTCACTTGACCTGACCTTGACCTGACCTCGACCTGAAATTCATCCAGAGGTGGTCCATATCACTTATTGAGTGTGCCTATTGAATTCCATGAGTAAAATGACCCATAAAACATGTGTCGCACATGCCCTTTTCTATATTTTGTTTTTTGGTGACCTGACCTGACCTGACCTGACCTTGACCTTGACCTCTGAATGATATTGTATGCAACGAATATTGTCTTGGTAGCCTAAGAACACATTTTGGGCGATCAGTCTCAGTCCATGACTCCATTCTTCGGCAACTACGGTGCAAGGCCGATACTGTAGAAACTTGCAATTTGTAGGTACCCTTGACCTGACCTTGACCTTGACCTCAAACTTTAAATTAAGTACATGTTTTTAGTAGTTCGTGATGAGAGCTTTCGATTGGCGTTTGAATTTTCCAAATCGGATCATTAGTTCGGGAGATAACAGGGGGGGTAAAATTTACCCCCCCCCCCCCAGCCCCGCGCGTTCGGCTGGAGACCCCAGCCCCGCGCGGGTTAATATATTCCTGCCCGGGGCCGGGATGATTCAATAAATGTCACCGAGGTTTTATAGCGAAAACTCCGAGGGCCGTTAGGCCCGAGGTGCTTTTCGCTAAAAAAGCGAGGTGACATTTATTGAATTCCCGGCCTTAGGGCTGGAAGGTGTTTCCCATACCTGCCAAAAAGCTCACAACTATAATTGATAGTGACGTCAGCAGCCGTGGGGTTCAACGCGTTTAACCACACCCCTTGAACCACACGGCTGGCAATATTAACCCTCGCCGGACCTATTGGTTTTCTACATACGCGCCGGCCGAGGGGGGGGGGGGGCGGGTACGACCCCCCCTCGCCGTTTCGCCCCTGGTGGAGCTAGCGCGTCGCGGAAAAAACGAGCGTGTGCGCCGTTACGAGACGCAGAGATTGGTACCCGATTTTAAGGTCCTAGGTCAACCGGTGACCTCTGAGGTCAGGTCAAGTGCCCAAAGGTACGGCTCAGTTTTTGGTGAATAACTTCGCAAAAAACGGCCGCAGAGCGCCGATTTTGGCAGCATCGTGTTCGTCTCGCTCAGGCGCGTCGAATGATATACTTTTTGTCCGGGTCAGGTCAACTTGGGGTGTTGACCTCAGGTCAAGGTCAGGTCAGCACCTCCAGGTCACGAAGTTGGTCGAAAGAGGTCATGTCGCATATCATTCGATTCGGCAGGTCGTCCTGAGTCCATTGGTGGCTTTCCCGACTCGCTAGCTCAATTTGATCAAGAGTTATTGACGAAAAACTAATATGACCTTGATGACGTCATAAATGACGTCACGCAAGGTCAACATTGCAAAAGTGACGCATCTAACCTTGCAAGGAGTGCATCAAATCACGATTCTGTGTGCTTGAGATAGTTGGAGATCGTTCCCGGCGCCAGAATAGCAGTTTGAATTTTTCCCCATTGACTTATAATGGTGAGGTCACGAAAATGACCTGACCTTATATGACCTTTAGGAAAAATCCGAGATATACAAGTTGTGGGACTCATAATGGATACTAGATTCTGCAAGTTTCATTTCCCTGTGACATCTCCTCTGGCAGTGAGGGCGTTGCGAAGTTGCGACATCTGAAGACCGTGCAGAGGTTCACTTATGACGTCATAGGTCAGTGACCTGACCTGACCCAAAAATGCGGTTGGTGTCAAAAGATCCGGCTTGGATCAAAGGTCAGGTATGCCAAGTTTCAGCTATCTATCGCCAGCGTGTTCGGAGCTATCGCGAAAAAAACCCTATGGGGGGGGGGGCGGCACCCGCCCCCCCCCTCGGCCGGCGAGGGTTAAAGCACTGCATTAAACTTTGAAAAGTGTGGTACAGTGCACGTGCCATTAAAATGCCTGGATGTCTCGATTTAATCATGCAATGTAGCAGGTATGGGAAACATTATAGATAGACTGAGTCTTACGTTTTCACAATCATTATGATAATATACAGAAGAGAGGATTCATTCATCATTGCCTCCCCTGACTTGCATAAAGTAGACTCATTTTCTCCTGCTTCAACAAAACATATGGCTGTAGATATAGTTTTGTAGCGATGGCTGCTAATCCGTTTCCAATCCGCAGTCCTGCAATCCGCTGTAATACGTTTCCGGTCGTCCCCGTAGTACATTGTCAGCTGTCGGTTTAACGGTCACGGCTGATCCACATGGTCCGCCGCTGCACCTGCTCCCTATCCGCACCTGCTCCCTATCTACTGAACCAGCGCTGTGTGAAACGACAAACCCACGCCCCTCCCACATACCACCCCTCCTCGCCCTTCAGGGTGCGTCTGAGCCGGCCCAACCGCAACTGGAAGGACCTGGTGGCACTGGCCACCCTCGAGCGCCGCGAGGAGCTGCGCCGCGAACACGAGGCTGCCGAGGCGGCCGACGTGGCCGCCTGCCCCGAGCCGCCCGCCGAGGAGGAGCCCTCCGTGGTAGAGGTATCCGGAGCGCGACTCGCCTGTCCTTCAGATGACGAGCGCGAGGCGGAGGAGGAGCCGGTGCCGGTCAGGAGGACGTCCAGGTTCGCCGTGACGCCCGTGAAGCTGCCGTCGCTGCGGCTGTCTGGTGCTGAGGCAGAGGAGAAGGAGTCAGACCAGGTGAGCGGGGAGAGACGGGTGGAAGGATGTGAGAGGGAGGTGGAGTGAGGTGTGACGTTGGTCGGTGCAAGCTGCTGGGACATTGCAGGGTATAAATTAGAGCGACAGCTATGACATGCTTCGGGAGGTGGTGGTAGAGGGACGTAAGATCAACGATCGTTGATTGTGAAAACGAGAAATTGTATGAAAAGAAAACGAGGATGCGCTCTAAACTTCTGCAGAGGTGATTAATGATTATGTTGATCAGATGGTTACGAAATGGACGAATAGCTGAAACAGTTTTCTTCTACCTCAATGTAACTATTCAAAGCCCATGCACTAAAATGTATAGGTAAGAGCATAACACGCTATTTCTACCGTTCACTGCTCTTGCAAATGCAAAATTAGGGATGTAAAATGCACAAGGTCACAATAACCAAAGTCCCAAAAGTTTTCCAATCACACCGTCGTTTTTTTCTTATCTGCAGCCTGCCTGAATATCTCGCACGGCAGGATCCCGCGCAATCGCAAACTAATACAGTAGACACCCAGTGACAAGCCGTCACCTGCTCACAATTCCAGCAAGTTTGCTGTTGTCGCCGGGCCGCGATGGTGGCATCCCACCGGCGCCCACCAGGATGCATTCTATCTCCACACAAATTGTTTTCCCATCCAGCAGGTGCTGGTGGCTCGTTACCGGCGCGGGCCTGTATTTTCCGGTCCGTCGCCGCCCTGCCGCCCGGGGGACCGGCGCGGTACTTGTGTCCTCCCCAATCGGGGCCCTGCAGGGGTGCCGGTCGACAGCACCTAATTGCACGGCCAGATACCCCGCAGATATGCACCGGAGGCGCACCATTGACGAGTGATGCTGTGTGCGTCACGGTGTTGGTCGTTGGGTGACTGGCTAAACGAATGAAACACAGTTTTGTTATGTAGTCGCTCTATCTGATGAAATGACGCCCTCCCAACCGGACGTTTCTTTTCGATCTCGTAACCATCTTAGATCTAAAGAAACCACTGACTGTTCATTAATTAAAAAAATGTCAATACTTTGGTTCACTTGGGAAGCTTATGTTGTAACGTCCATATATAATTACGCATCCTGTTTGTATTTTATTGTAATATAAAGATAATGGAGGTGCATCCGGGGTTGATTTTGTCTTTATTTACGGTTCAGTTCTTTCTGAGCTTGTTTGCTAGCGACAGCTGAATGCCGTTCTTAACTCGTAGGTAATATAAGGCAAACTGTAAGCTTGTCAACATCTTTCCAGCTTTTGAGCGAGTTTGAAAAGCCAAAAGAGCCCTTCTGTTTTTTTCTGCTTGCTGTTTAGAATTGACAGTGATCCATTTGCTATGTAGTTAAATACACCCATTACAGATATGTTCGAAGAAATCTTCATATAATGTTTTGTCGGCGTAATTTGTCTGACGTGTTTGCAAATCGTTTTAATTGCAGCTGTTGTCTTGCACTTGTAATTTGTCTGATACAAGAGTGCGATGAAGTAAGATTTGCATGTTCTAGCTAAGATATGGTGATATTTGCATTTAGTCTAGCTGCATATCCCGGTTATTTGTTTTATGATGAGTGCCACGATATGACATTTCCATAAAAAAATCACGAAAAACGAACATTCAAATAAGCATCTTATTCAAGAGCCATGTATTTATTAAAAAGACTGTGTTTTATCAAATTTCACGCGATATGCAGCAGCTGCATGTGATATTGTTGCTTGGTATCGGCAATCGTCATGGGCAATGGGGCATCCATCCATGCCATTATGTCCCTGATCCGCCATTGTAGACAACCGAACCACTACTTTGTCTTTATCTTTCCAACCTGGAGCCATTGATAAGCTGTCACGTATTTGAGGGGAACCTTGTTAATTACGTAACATGAAACTAAATATTTTAGTCCTTCCTTCGCTCAGCCCAGATTTCTGAGGAGTCACGTGAACCATCCATTTACTGGGCTCGGGCGGCGCCTTTTCAGCGCTGTGGCATGTTGGCGTTTGCGGCGCATTAGGGCGTCATGTCACTCTGTGACACTCCCGTGCAGGAGTGAGGGCGACGCCTGTCAGTGGGAGCGAGTGCTCGCCCGTCAGATGTGGTCCTGATTGGAGCGGGGACGGGATGCGCCGATCGCGGACTGGTGTAGCACATATCCGGAGTATCGGGTGGCCGCTAATGGTCACAGACGGAAATCTCCCCGCTGACCGGTTGTCGCCGAGGGACGGGTGACAACGTGATACAGCCCGAGGTATACAGCGGGGCTAGCCGAGCGACGGTGCGGTCCCGTCTGAACGGCAGCTCTTCAGTCGGTGTATCGACTAACAGGCTGACTGACAGGGCCGACTGACATCACAACACTGTATGCTGACACTACGACACAGGGATAACTGACAGCACGACACACAGCACATCTTTCCGAGCGGCAGTCGGGTTCTCCGACAACTTCCGAGCGAAAACTCGATTACCTGAATGAGTCCCGACCGATTGCGCCACACTGATCAGACATGCAACTCGCGCTAAGTTACTCTTTGTTGTAGTTCAATAATTGCCTGGCCATTAGAGCTATCTATACCTTCGACTAGCTGGGGGGGGGGGGGGTCGCTTGGGAACAACTTTGAACACTGAAATCAACCTCGGCTCGCAGAAGAGCCATTCTGCCAGACGAGGATTCGCTTAATCTCTGTTCACGTATGCCCCATCACCGTCTCTTAGGCGGCAGGCAGTGATGGTCTCCCCATCCGTCCTCCGTCCGCCCCGACCCTGTCCGGGACAGTGGCGATCTCCGCCCCAGGGCGCGACCCCGTCTGCACCTCGGCCGCCCTCCGCCACCGGCTTCCGCCCGCGCGCCGCCGTCGGCCCGCGAGATGATCCATTATCGGAGTGGCCCGCCTGTCTGCCACCGAGCTATCGTCTACAAAAAGCCAGTGTGATGGAGGACAAGCGTTGACAGCAGGTACTAAAAGCCCTGGTATGGCCTAAAAAAGAGCCAGCTGAGACGGAATTGAAAGGGTTAGTCTCGGAGCGCACTCAGGTAACTAGGTTTAAATGGTTTATTTTCCTGGGGCAGCCCGATCTTTCTCCCTTGAATGTTGCACAGATCAAATAACCGAATGCCTCTACCAGACTCGGTAAGGTAGCGTCACCTGAAGTCGTTTATGGAACGCGGCTTCATTATTCTTTAGTATTCTCTTATGGGCTGCAGTGGGTTGTTTTGATGTGCATTAGGTTGCAGGACCAGGCACACCGAGGAGCTGCAAGAATGGATGTACGGTCACGGCCAATTCTATGCTGCACCCAATGATCGTGGAGCAACAGTCGAAACGATTTCGCTGCCATAAGAACTTTTGCAACGATAAGTTTGTTTCTAACAGTTCGTGACGAATCGGTGTGAAACGTCTCCAAGTTCTTGGAATGGTGTCTGAGTTTCGAGGACTTGACACGGTCGTCTGTGGCATGTTTTTTATCAGTGGATCTGCGACTGTCGTGAGATGCGACACCCACCAGCGGCGGTTCCGTGATGATCGATTCGTTCTCCGGGTCGTCGGCGGTGATAACTTTTATTTCCGACCGCTAAACCCGACCGTTACCCGGCGGGATATCGCGCATCCCCGTCCCGAAAATGGTCGCGGCGACCCGGTGCTGGGGAAATGGCCCGGCCGGGCCGGCGCCCGGGCGCTGCGCCCGGCACGCCGGCCCTGCCCGGCCACCCCGGCGCCCGGGGAAGATGGGCCATTTAGGCGGCGACTGGGTCTCCGGTACGGCCGTAATGGGCTATTGTCAGTGTTCCGTGCCGACCAAACGGCGCTAATCCGATATAGAGCCATCACAGAGGCGACCAGTCATGCGTTCGCCTTCTCGGCTGGCCCACTAATCATATGGCAAATGGATCACGCTCGTGCGCCGCGATATGAGGGAATGCTCACGGACCAAGAAATGTGCCGCGGGTGCTGCCCCGAGGCGTTGCGCGACCCTCGGGAAATATGCACGGCGAGGTTGGACTAACAGCAATCGATCGAATATAACTAGATGGTGAAACTCTTTCAATTGAATAAGCTTCCTGACATCCCCTTGGATCATTGCATTGGCAGGTAGCTAATCTCGGCGAAATAGTAGGTAATCGATGAAATACGACGGTAAAAAATATGAATTTTTTAAAGTAATATATGATTCGTTTTGTGGCGTAAATTATGGTAGGTGTCGCTGTCGCCTCTGCGTTCAAAGAGGCATTACCTATCTTATTGTGTTTTGTAGCAACGCAATCGAACAATATGTATAAACGTGTCAAAATAGGTATATGGTGTCGAATGTCGATAAAATGTTTTCAATAACTTACGTATTTCTGGTCCATAAACATCAACAGCCTCACTGTATGCATCAGCTGGCCCGTTCACTGTTTCTAGAAGTAGCACCGCACAACCCCACTCAGTCTTCCATCCCCTTCCAGCCATTGCCCTTGCCCAAGAACGTTCTCCGTACCTGAGCGGTAACTATTCATTGCCTGTCGGCTCAGGGAAATTTCGCCCGCCCCCAGGAGGCAGGTGTCGTCAGACCGTCGAGTCCGACGCCGTCCGACGCGGCGGCCGGCCGTCGGCCGCTCAAGCCCATCCTGAAGAAGACCAACTCGTTTCGACTGTCCCCGAGCAGCCGCGAGGCCGGCCACGTGCCAACGCCCTACGCCACTGTCACCGGCGGCACGGGAGATAGCAGGTAAACGGAGAAACAAGAACGGATGGCCGGCGAGACGGCCGAGAGTGGCTGCTTTATGGGACTGTATGTGCTATGGTGATGCTTGTGGCGACCTTGGGAAATTGCTGTGCTGGAGAGGAGGTGAGTTTGAATTTCAAAAGTGAGATATAGTACTTTGGTGTTGCGCATGTATGAAAAACGGTTACCTGACTGTCCTTCATACTATATTGAAGGGAAAGGAATAACACGCACCTCACAAGTCGGTATCTTAGGCGCCGCGTTATGCCGTATCCCGCGCTATATAGTTTAGTTTTTGCTAGATACCTACCTACTCTCTCAATGCATGACATTAAGCATAATGAAACAATTTATGTAAACCATCAAATCATTTCTATAAATGTACGCGCCTGCTAGTAAAGTGAGAAGGATTTCGACGCAGTCTCGTTTCATGAGCCGTGAGTTCGTACGTCAACTGCGGATTAGGGTCGCTCGCTGCGACAGGATTCGGCGGATCTTACTGATGGCCCACGGCGTCCAATCGGATGGCTGCAATCAGTCACGTGACGAGTGATCCCCTCCAAAGCTGGTAGGGACACTTTTACTGCCCTAATTCCGAACACTTGGCTCAGAATGCTAACATTGATTCCATGCTGACAGAACGCTCCTGACGGCTGACACACACACATAATATAACACACGCACTAAAAGTGTAATTTTTATTAAACCGCAACGCGTCGGAGCTCCTCATTGGCTGGTTACGCTGACTCTCGGTTGTGGTTGTTCCTTCAGGATGCAGACGGCGCTGGACCATGTTCTGCAATCAGCACCCTCAGCCGACGGGAAGAAGGCGGCCAGCAGCGGCGATAGTCCCGACGAAAACTGCGCGCGCGAGGAAAATCCGCCACGGTCGCGGCTAACTCCGACGGAGAAACGCGTCACCCTGGTAAGCATGGTGCTGTATTCGGGTTTGGGAGTATTTGGCAACACGTTTGTTTTGTTTTATTTGCTGTCAAATAGCGTTTATTTGTTTCCCAGGTGACGTCGATTTACGAAATGTTATGGTAAATATGTAAATAAATGAAAACCATTGTTTATCACGCAAACAAGTTTTGTCATGAATACAATTTAAGTTCAAAATTTTGTTGTCAAATGATTTTACTGTGTTTCCGCACTTGCATACTTTTCACATGACTTTCACGAAGCAATTAAGTTCAAAGTTAAAATAAGGAAGCGATCATTAATTTAAGTAGAATATTTGTGATCGTATTCGTAGATCCATAATTATAAAACATGTAGTGTGGTCAAATAATGAATAATGAAGTGGTTCTTCAGTCTCCCGACTGCAGGACGATGTTGGGTCACCCGCGCTAGCCGGGTTTGGCTGTGTGGGGTCAGTGGGAGTAACCTGGTTTACCCATGGGTGGTGTGAGCTGCATCGGACAGGAGGGCTGACAACGACCGCGTTTAAAATCGGATGAGGCGTGCACTCCCCAGGCGACGCCTGCAATTGTCTGGAGATATAGAACTTTCGTAAACCCATTTCGCAGAAGCTCGGAAGTGTATTGCCGGGCTCCATGAAGTTCGTAGTCTGCTAGCCAGGGCTTATCAAGCATTGAGGGCAATGTATAGCGTTATTTGATTTCATATTTGTTTAAATGTTTATCCGCATATGTTACACAGTTTGCGAAATGTTTCAGTGGCCCAATACATTAGCATGCAATAGCCTAATTTTACTTTATGACTCAAATTAGTACAAATATATAAATATCTGTTCAATTTTAATAACTTCAACCAACAGCTATCAGCCATGCTGCATTTACATTGAATCAGCTGACACAGGAAATAACTACTATAATGAGCCGAGCCACGATGCATACACGATTTTACGGAGTAAATAAAAAAAAAATATGTACAATACTCGTGAGTATGTACAGAAAGAGTAAATAAATACCTCTGCTCATAGTAATTTGTACTGTAACTGTATACGTTACCAAAAGCTGTCAAGCATCATGGCAAATGGGGCTAATTGTAAGCGATTTGTTGCGTAGTAGGGTCATTTTATTTCCAGTTAGCCGGTTAATTTGACATTTTCTGACATCGTATTGTCGTTGGGTTTCAGCTGGAGAGGGCCATGCGCCTGTTGCGGCGATATGAGGTGCTTTTTCTCACTCAACCACAATTATGGCATGCAATATCACTTGCTGTCAGCCGACACTTCTCCTTTTGTATAATTTTTTTACAACGAGACGTATATTTAGGTGCTGACCTTTCCCCGTTACATAATTCCAACCTTTTTGCAAATTGGCAGTGTTAGATGCTAGTTTTCAAAGTTCAAAAATATCATTTAATTTATTTATGAATTGCTTTCAATTTGCTTATGATGCATTGCAAGTTATTTACCATTCTTAAAAAAAAACTTACTTAAAAAAACATTCTTAAAAAAAATGTTCGAAGCTGGCATTGAAGCAAGCCTTAAATTGATTGCCTTTCTTTCCAGGGCAGTTCATCAGTTCAGTCTTTAATTTCATAACTTGTGAATGAAACACAAAAGTGTGAACTTGAACTTGAAATAAAAGAGCACTACAGCTATTTAGGAACTGCCCGGTGTCATGGCACGTGTCTCCCCTGCATCGCACTTTGTACTGAACAATGAACATACCTATCACCGAAGTCAACTGATTTTTTTTTGTATATCCCATATGCTTACCCTAGATGACTGGTTGGTAGCGCCTTTCTGAACCTTATATGCTGCCTGGCTTGTGTTCATTCTTTATCTTATAAGATCTGCTTTAAATGCGTTTTTCGTGCTTCGATTTTTTTCTCCATTCCATTAACCCTTTGCAGATAATTTCTTTAATCATTTTATGATATTTTTATCTCGTTGGGGCACTAAGCTAATGATATAGAGGTCCCTTCTCGATGCACAATCAGTCAGTCTTGGCTCATACAAAGGAAACAGAGAAAGACTATGTTTTCATAATAACATCGTGTTTTCTTTCTCCAGTCCAAATCTGTCGCGTGTAATAGTTGTAGGTACGAAAAGTTATAACGCAAAAAGTATGCTCCTGATTTTACCCTCGTTAGACATTTACTGACGAGTAAGAGCACTGAATAGCTTACAATCAAGTACAACAATCAAGCATACAACTTGCGCTCGGACCATCGGTTGCTTATGCTGATTGTTGTTTTGCTTTTCACCATGTTCTCACCAGCCGGTCGAGAGAGTAATCGACATGTCCTACGAAGACCAGAAACTCTGGGAGGAAGAGGAATTGGACAAGGAGGTCAACTTTGAAGATTGCAAAATAGGTAAGCTTTTGTCAAACGTGTAGCAATGAATAAAATAAATTCATCACTAATACAATTAATTATTACTGCAAGCATATAACCTTACCGAATTCTATAAGCTTTTACACATAACAAGATCAAAGTGTTTGTTGTTTGTAGAAGTTTCATTGAAATAAATAACACTGAGTCATTTATTATACCGGAAGGCGGCTATGACATGCTAATAAGGGTACATTTGACCTAGTATGCATGATTAATTTCAACATAATAACAAGCATGGTAAAACTTGGGTGATATGAAACTTGAAACGAAGAAGAATGGCTGCAGTGTGTCTGACGTGTCTTTAATTGCGGCATGGTGGTGTCACAAATGCGGTCAACTGCATGCAATTAAACTTCATTCTAGTTTGTCGAGCGCCAAGTCGAATGTGACAGACGCTGCAGATGTCCAAATGGCGTGGTTATTGCATTTAGTACGACTGAGTGCGGCGATTAATTCATGTCGTCAAGGAGTCTCAGGCCTAGCCGACCTATACTCTCGGCTAGGAATCAATGCGTTTTATGGTTGCCGAATGTTTATCTATAGTTCCAGAGGCTACCAAATTGTGTACGCAAAGCCTGGGCAGAAGAAATTGTACTTCAACGACTGCTGGCCAGGTTTATGCCGGGCTGAATACACGTACAACACTTTAACTCAACTCACCCCAGCAATTAGCCTCAACAACTCAGTCGCCTTACCTACATAATCCCAATGAGCCTTGTCTGTTGCCCGATGATCCCGAGGCTTTTTGCTGCTGGCGATAAGCAATGTTTACTCTTTTATTTGGCTCATGAAGTACACAGCAGAGCTGTGCTGAGCTGCCTCAGTGACCTGCTTGCATGTGCCGCCCACAGATCCGGCCCCGTTCCAGCTAGTGGAGCGCACCTCACTGCTGAAGGTGCACTCGCTATTCTCAATGCTGGGACTGAACCATGCCTATGTCACAGCCATCGGCCGCCTTATAGGAGTCGTCGCCCTCAAAGAGGTCAGTTGGAGGTCCTGGTGTGCAGTCAGAGGCCAGTGGCTGTGTGGAGGGAGGTCAGTGAGTTGGCGCACGACGCGGGAGGTCAGTAGGAGGCCGATTGACTGACCTGAGAGCTTGGGATGGTTCACTAGATTGACCAGAGCACGAAAAGAGGTCAATGTATGGTCCCAGATCGTGCTTATAGATTGGTGTGTGGCCCCGTGGGACATGGAATCAGGTCACTTGGAAGCTTCGTGTGCGGGATAGCGGTTTTGTGCGGCTCTCAAATACCGATAGATATTTACCCAGCCGTTGAGGCTGGGTGCTGTGTATGCTGCATGCCTAACTAACAAAAGAAACAGTTTTTCCGAGTTCAGGATGTAAATCTGCCGTGCTTGGTGGACTGTGCCTGCTCAAAAACTGAATATTAGGACCTAGAAGCGCTGTCTTCATAGCTGGTGGTAGATGAATAAAGTTGTTGACGAATTTCTAGAGAACGCTAAATGTCTTCAGTAGCATTATTTGTGCCGAAAACTTCATTCATAAATTTGCAACTTTTAGAGGAAATAGTGGCTTCTCAACCGATATTAGCCATAGAAATTCCTTAGTTATTATGATTACGTCAAATCTTATGTAGACCACACAATAACTAGGTTACGTATGACCGCTACCGTGTTGTTACGCTTCGCTGCTTGCTGTAATGCTGTATCTGCAGTTGACTATATAATATTGGTGCCTTCGGTGTGCTGTCGCTTTTCGACCGAGGTGCCCAGCCGCTCTGGATGTTGACCTTACGCCCTTCCTCATGCAGCTGAGGCAAGCTTTAGAGAGCACGACTAAGGATAGAGACAATGAGCCCAACAGTCCCGTTTTGTTAATGTAAAGCAGTGAGACAGCAGCGCACGTAAGTCGCCCGGGATTCTTCTCTCCTCTCTATTTTACGTAGAGCTGAATGCATTTTGCATTTTTCATTATAGTTTGTGAATGTCCAAGTATTTTGCTTTCTGTAGGGTGCTTGGATGTTATCGACCGATGCAGCATTGTATGCACGACCTGAGCTATCAGTGTCGATGTTACGAAAATATGCGTCACTTTTCGAGCAGGAAAATATTTTAGCAGGGTTTTTATGCATAGAGGAAAGTCACAAAGAATTCAACCAGCTATGCCTAATTCACAAATCCGTAGCATGAACTGGATGACCTTAACACATGGCGGGTCATTTATAGTGTGTTCATGAAGAGTTGAGGTAGAAAATGGCATTAACTTTGCCACATCCAATGGTTTTGAAGCTTAGAATATTGATATTAAAAATAACGAAGCGTAATGAATGCGCTGAATAACTCAAATAGACCCTTCGCAACTTCTGCCATGCATGACATTGCCATTTGTATGTTCCTGACCTTAATGCAGCATGATGCAGGATCACCTTGCATGGTTCATGGGATATCTATTGACGTTAGTTATTCCACTTTCAAGTTAAATACATTACATTCGCAAGAAGACATGCGACCTCGCTCAAAGTATGACAAGGTCGATTTGGGTCCGACATGACGTAAGATCTGACATCACAACTCAGCGACCTGACCCCGAAAGTGATAGATTAGATCTTATGTTGGAAAACGTGTGCTAAATAAGGTGTCAAGCTTCTGTCCTTTACGTTTACGCATTTTGTGTCTGCTTGAATTATTTAATAATTAACCCTGGCACTTATAGGGGGATCGAACGAACCCCCTTGGTTTTCGCAAATAACTCACGTAAAAAGCGGCCGACCGCGACGAAAGTTTCAGTACCCTCGAGATCATCAGTTTCACACCTACCCTCAAAATGTCATGTCCCTGACCCAAATGCCCTTTGACCTGTGACATAATCCTCGAGACCATGTTTGGCCGGAGTCGTGATTCGGCGTATGCCGGCTCACATTATCCGTACGTTTGATTTTTCGTGGTTTCAAATGTTCAGACATGTGAAAGGATGCTTGTCATGCATATGGTGTGTGTAGAGGTCACCTGAAGTTCAGGTCAGGTCAATGACTTTTGATGACCTTGGCTCACTTTTTCGAGCTATGTAGTTCGAGCTCGAAAAAGCTCGAACTACATTGCTCGAAAGTGAGCTATGTTTTCGAGCTATGTTTTGGAGCTGATTTCGAATTTAGCAACCATTGAACATTTACGAAATAGTTTTGGTGCCTTCGTAACATGCAACGAAGCTGTCAGTGGCGTATGACACCTACTATGAACACCCGGCAGTACGCCTACTGGTTGACCTGAGCTGACCTGACCCAACTTGGCCTAAATGCATGAAAACATCATCTATGATTGAAACTACCATAAAATTAGTGATCAGCACCACGAAAACCCCTTACCCACCTCACATTATGATATTCTAACAGGTCTTTATTTTCCCAACTCTTGGATCATTGACCTGACCTGGAAGGTCAACCAATGACCTAGAACCTGAAAATTGGATATCCGCGGCTTCCTCTCGTCACGGGCAGCACGCTCATTTTTTTCGTGAAGCCCTAGCTCGATCATGGGCCAAACGGCAGGGGAAAGTTTCCAACGGTGATAGAAGCACAAAAGTGATAGAACGAAGCGGATATCTCCAGTACTTTCCGAATTGAGTATTTTCCCATAGTCATTACGACATAATGACATCTAACTGACCTTAGGTCAGTGACATAAAAAACATACACATATGTTATATGTACAACTAGGTGAACTTAGCACATCCTGAAAGTTTGAAAGAAATCAGTCCAAAACTGTTGGACAGGTACATAAAGAAAACTGAAATTTGACCATGACCTTGTACCGGTTTTTCTGACCTGGTGACCTGACCCAAGGTCACCCGGACCTGAAATTTTTAGCACATATGTAAAAAGGTTGTCCCATAGGCTGTGCCAAATTTGGTGGCGCTGCGCGCCGCCGTTTTTACGCTATCTTCGAAAAACCTTAGGGGGGGGGGGGGTCGCATCGACCCCCCGCCTGCCAGGACGAGGGGTAACCCGCGCCGGGCGGGGGGTGTGTTTGAACACCCCCCCCCCTGCGTTTTTCGCAGATATCTAAAAAACGGCGACGCGGAGCACCGCCTTTTTTGGCACACCTGGTTGTGCATCTTTTCATCACATGTTGTTAAAATTTCAGACCCAGGTCGTTCAAGGTCAGGTCATCAGGTCCGCCAAGTGACCTCACCTCAGAAAAATTAGAATGCTCGTCATACCTACACCAACTGAACGATTGCCTTGAAACTTTCAACGATTGATAAGAGTAACAGTATCTATAAAACGTATATCTCTGAATTTTGATATCGGTGACCTAAGGTCAGAGGCCAGTTTTACCAACAGAAAAATAGCCGCCTGCCGGAATTTTTTTGCCTGAAGACCGCTTCACGTGCGGAACATAAACGGTAAAGCCCTATCTGCTTACGTGCCCATCGCGTTTACGCTCCGTATGTGAAGCGGTCTTCAAGCAAAAAGTTCCGGCAAGCGGCTATTGTTCTGTTGGTAAAACTGGCCTCAGGTCAATTTTACGGCCTTTCCATTAAAAGTCGTGCAATGGGAGAAAATTGAAAAGATCTCTTTTGCACGAACGCCATTCTAGACACTTTCAAACATCGGGATGCAGGTAAAATTGAGACACTGAACTGGAAAATGGCACCTGTGACCCCTCGTTATGTCCCCGAGGTCATCTCAGGTCACGAATAGTATCTAACAGTTTTCCGCTAATAACTGCTGATAGAAGCATGCTAGAGCAATGAAAACGCCTTAGAAGTTTTCGACTCGACGATGCGGATCGACTGATATGCAACATGACCTTCTCCGGTCAGGTCATGACCTTGACCTGTGGTCAAATTTTCAAGTTGACCTTTTAAGGTCATATTATAGTTCATTCGACGCGTCTCGACGAGAGGAACACGATGCTGGCAAAAGAAATGTCATGGCTCTTTTGAGTCAGACCCAGGTTGTATCTATAAAACGTATATCTCTGAATGTTGATATCGGTGACCTAAGGTCAGAGGCCAGTTTTACCAACAGAAAAATAGCCGCCTGCCGGAATTTTTTGCCTGAAGACCGCTTCACGTGCGGATCATAAACGGTAAAGCCCTATCTGCTTACGTGCTTAAAAGTTATTTTCGAAAAAAAAAACATTTTTTCCATAAAAACGGCTATTTTTGAAGTTTTTGCCCTCTGGAGGCTAAACCGTTGACCTAAGGTCAAATCTGAGAGGATTGTTCAGAAAGGTCTGTAAAAGGGCTATCGAATGCGCTTTTGCGCGGCGCTGTAGCTCTATCGGTTCCCGAGATAGCCGTCGGCAGTTTCCAAAATGTTGAAATAGTCAACATTTTACCTTTGGTGACCTCTGGTGACCTGACCTTTGACCTGACCCAAAAAATGACCGAAGTGTTTTCGTCCTTATTTTGGACGTTCTTCCGATTACCACTAACCGCGTGACGCCACGTGGTCCAGAAGCCGAGTTAGAAGGGGGAGGGTTCAGACATCCCCCCCCCAGCCCGGCGCGGAAGTCTCGGAACACCGGCCCGGCGTGGGTTCAAAAGGGTAGTGCGAGGGACCAGTTCAATACACCTAAGAAATAAAACATAATACTGTGTGCAATTGAATCGTTGCGGGCCGAAAACCAAACAAAACCGACCGTTTCTTGTTGTCGGAATGATATGCATTATCATTGGTTTATATATTTATTTATATTGTTTTATTTTTATTTTCATTGTTTGTTGGACACAAGAAACAGTTCCCAATATACAAATATACGGATTACCGGTGAACCTCAAATGTTTGCACTGCAATGATGAATCCATTAAATTAGTTGATGTCCATGACATAACTTTTATTTTTAAATCTTCTTCATGAATCAAAAGTGCATGCCTGAAAAAAATGTGGCATTGATACATGGGTTGATTGTTGGGATTGGCAATGGAGCAACGGTAACAACTGCTCATTTTGTGGTAGCCTAGAAATGCACGTGAATGACTCCGGTTCAACCTTGAACAAACCTTGATTATGTATTCAATTTGAAGTTAAGAGCGAAGAGGTTTGATAGGGGATGGTGGAAAAGACAAATATCTTTGAATGAACTTGACCTTGACCCTGCTCTGATCGTGACCTGACCGTGACTTGATCCTGAACCTATCCTAACCTGATCTGACCGGACCTGACCTTGACCCTGACCTGACCCTGACCTGACCCTGACCTGACCCTAGCCTGACCCTGACCTGACCCTGACCTGACCCTGACCTGACCCTGACCTGACCCTGACCTGACCCTGACCTGACCCTGACCTGACCCCGGCCTGACCCTGACCTGACCCTGACCTGACCCCGGCCTAATCCTGACCTGACCCTGACCCTGACCTGACCCTGACCCCGACCTGACCCCGGCTTGACTCTGACCTGACCCTGACCTGACCTGACCCTGACCTGACTCTGACCTGCCCCTGACCTGACATGTCTGTTTCAGCTGAGACAAGCCATCCAGCGAGCGAACCACTTCAGTCCTGACGAGGACGTGGAGTCCGACTCGGCGAGCTCGGCAGCCAGCAGCGTGTCTCACCTCGGCCTCTTACCCCGGGCTGTCACCGAGCAGGACGCCCCTTCTCACCGTCTTACCGAGGACAGGGGCGCCCCTTCTCGCCGTCTTACCGAGGACAGGGGCGCTCCAACTCGGATCCCCAACTCCGTGAAAACTTGATCTCGACTCAGGCCACTCAAAAGCATGTTGAACTGTTTAAGCAGTGTATTCACAGACTCCATAAGAGACACTGGATGGACTCGGTGATCGAGTCGGCGTCTGTATCTACGCGTGTGTAGAACTGGGGATATTCAGTAAATGCTCAAATGATGATACGCAAGTTAGCGTTCATCGAATTGGAGTGAATGATTGTTTTATGCTTGTGCTCCTCAGAGTTCGTGAGAGTGCGTATTTGTTTGGAGTGAAGTGTGTCTTGAAAGATTTTAAACTTTTCTTCGACGGTGGTATGCGTCTATCGGTATATAACAAAATATAGTGTACGGTATGTGCTTTCCAACTTCTAATTGCCGCTTGCATCTGTATCTAGATCCGCGCACCTTTATCGAAATGATGTTAATCAGCACCCGACTTGCTTAGGTAGAAGGTGGCATTTGAAAGAGTTATTGTGTATAGTGGTAATTTGTTTCTTACTTCTTATCAATATGCTGCCTTCCAATGGTTTGGCTGGGCTAATCATGACAATTTTATTCGACAGCTTGTGGACAACGGCAATTGATTGTAGTGCCTTCCTAATGAAAAGCAATTGCAAACTACATCAGAAGTCAGTAGTCACATGAATTCCCAGTTCAGTGTGGACTGGTTACATGAATGGCTCATGATTTGTCCGGGCTGCGTGCACACATATAAGGAAATTTAGCCAGACGGTTTCATTTTCATTTCACATCCAACGTGGTTTCACATAATCGCTCTCAATCCTTCCACCCCACCTGTCTTTTATCGTCGTATCATGATGAAGCTACTCTGAACCCCGTTCAGTCTTCTTCAACATTCCATTCATCACCATCGGTCGTCAAGGCGTCACCCAGCCAATCATTTTGTTCCCCACAAGGCACAAGCTCGCTCAGAGGTGGGCATGGGCCGATTAGGCGCGTCTCCAGGGCCTCCTCAGGGACTGCGGGCTTCTCTAGAGCGCCCTTAGGAACTGCGGGCATTTCTAGAGTGCTCTCCGGGACTCCGGGCATTTCTAGAGTGCCCTCAGGGACTGCGGGCATTTCTAGAGTACCCTCCGGGACTCCAGGCATTTCTGGAGTGCCCTCAGGAACTGCGGGCTTCTCTAGAGCGCCCTCAGAAACTGCGGGCATTTCTAGAGTGCCCTCAGGGACTGCGGGCTTCTCTAGAGCGCCCTCAGGAACTGCGGGCATTTCTAGAGTGCCCTCCAGGACTCCGGGCATTTCTAGAGTGCCCTCAGGAACTGCGGCGTGTCTGGGGCGTTCATAGGCACTGTGGGCGTCTTTGAGGCGCCCTCAGGGGGTGAGTGTCTCAGTGCGGTCGCAGGAACTGAAAGCGTCTTAAGGTCGCCTTTAGGGATTTCAGGTGTCTTCGTGGTGTTTGCAGGGACTGCGGAAGTCTCTAGAACGCCCTCATGAACTGCGACAGTATCTAGGGCTCCCTCAAGAGACTCGGGTTGACTCTAGAGCGGCGCCCTCAGGACTTGCGGGCCAATGTCACAGCTGACACAGTATGCCGCTACGACCGCTGTCGAGAGACACGGGCCTGACACGGGCGTCTCTGGTACGAGCCTTGTATGGTATGGCTGCACCGGTTTCTGTCGGACTCCATCCGTTACTGGGGCCCTAGAGAGGAGAAGTGAGACGGCAGAAAAACAGATCACCGTCCGCCGCGGCGGACGCTCCGAGCCGCTCTACTGTCGGCTCGACCTCCGATGTCATCCGGCGGAGTTATGGGTTGGAGAAGAAATTCCTGTTGGCGATGTTTTGGGGATAAAGAGAGCACACCTACCATAGCCACCCGACAGATCCTGGTTTTTGATAGTGCCTGTGTTATGTGTCATTTTATGTTGCTTCAAAGGATTGTCTTTTTCGGCATGGGCATTGGGTAAGGACTAAGGAGTAAGGGAACATTGGGATATAGGGTTTCGCCAAGGGGTCACTGCAACTTATAATCACTGTATTTACGGCATGTGGTCATTTTTCGGTCGATCGATTCGTGCCACTCAGTCGCAACATGCATAGATATTATATCTCTCAACATTTACACAAGCGCAGTCGCCAAACTACATAGAGTATGCGATTGTGTTTCGTTATTCCTATATGTGAATGTGATGACAAATTTGTTCAGTGTGCTGCAAGAGGCAGTAGTTATCTCAAAACTTATCACGCATTTGTCCACTATCGTCATTGTAAATATAACCATAAAACATGCGCGTATATATGTATGGTGCGTGAACTGTTGACTCACCTTCGTTTAATATGTCTAAATATATAGATTGCGAAATCGTGTGAATGTTTTTTTTATCAAGGACACAATTCAGATGTATTGCACTACTATTCCTTACTCTTACTCAATTCATCTGGTTTATTAGAACGAGAGTAGCGCACGGATAACAGCGAGGATTTCCATATAAGCCGTCGTTCACTGTTAAACTCTGCACCGAAGGACGAGAGTATGTATTGTCGGCGTCCAAATGACCCTCCTGGTCGGACCAACCGCTCCACCACAGTCCACATCGGTGTGCCCCTCCACTTGATTACTAGACATACTGCACAGTGCACACGTCCTACGGCAGATATGTACATATGTCACGACATTAGAAGGCATGTCAGCGAAAGCGTGTACCGTTAACCCTCGATGTTTTGGGGTGGGGGGAGCCAATTTGCCCCCCCCCCCTTTTGGTTTTTCCAGAATAGCAAGAAAACGGCGGCGCCCAGCGCCGCCAAATCCTCAGTACCTTTGCGAGTATCAATTTGACACTTTCACATCAAATTTCATTTCTTAGGTCGCCTTAGGTCAGGAGTTATTGAGGTCGAACTGAGGTCATGTTCGAGCAAAAATGAGCAAAAAACATGCAATCTTGAAACGCTAACAAAAGCTACAGTTACCAAGCAATTTCGAAGCTCTTTATATGCTAATGTAGAGAAAAGACGGCGCTACAAAACTGCTATCTCGGATTTTCAAAATTCTGGTATTTTAACCCCCAGAAATTAAAAAAGTTAAAAAAAAACGCAAAAAATCCATTTTTTCCGAATTTTGAAAAAAGCGGAATATACGTGATAGTCCATGCGCTCTTCTATATACATACCAAATTTTAGATCGATGCCTTCTTTTTTGGCTAAGTTATAGCGAAAAAACTGTTCAAAATTGATGACGTCAAATTTTTTAAATCATTTTTAGCAATTTTAGACCACGTAACGCAAAACAAAGACCACCATTGAACTTCCCGTGACGAACTGCATCAAATCGATACCCATTTTATGCAAAAATATCAACTTTAAGATTTGATCTAATTTGACCTGACCTTGACATGACCTTCACCGGAACATAATCGAAACTGGCCCCGAAGGCTGCCTGACCCACATATCGCATTTGGCAAATAAAATGGACCATAAAACATGCGTCACATAATATTTTCATATTTTAACCCTCAGTGGCCTGACCTCTGTGATCTGACCTGGTATCAGTGACCTCAAATAGCAGAACATGTGTTTGACAAACAACGCCCCATCGATGGTTTTCAATGAAATACACTTTACTTGATTTTACAACGCATTTCTTGAAATTCCTGTAAACGGTGAAAATTCGACATTTGACCTGACCTGTGACGTCATTGGTTTGAACTAGGCCAATGATATCGGGTCACCAGGTAGTTAGTTCCCTGTTAGGGCTATCCAACACCGTTTGCTGCTTGTCGCTATGTTGCGTTGCTCTCGAGATCTTTGGGGGCCCAAATTGGCCGCCCTCCCCCCCAACAGGGCGCGTTGCTCGGTAGACTCCAACGGGGAGCGGGTTAAGTATATCATGCGATCTATGCCTATATACTTACATGAATTACAGGTAGAGAGCTCATTGGAGCTTCTGCTTGTGAGAAAACTACATAGACCCGGGAACAGGGGGGGCAGCGGGGGCGCTTGCCCCCCCAACTTGAAAGCCGAGGGGGCGGCGCCCCCTCAACATTGAGGCAGCAAGAAAGGATCTTTTCTCCCTTTTCCGGACTTCTTTCCTTCTTGTTTCCTTCATACATCTAAACATCAACACACGGCATTTTCCTTGCCATCTGAATGGTTTCTGCTGATTGGTACAGTATCGATTTGACAACATCTTCTATTGTCATCTCGCTTTGGTTTGAGCCTGACCTTGGCCATAAGTTTGGCAGGCCAGATTTTATAATGGACCATTTTGAGTCAACTTTGAGAAATACATAACGTACATATAACGGTGATAAAATCGTTGCTATAGGTATATCACAGTTTACCCGCTCCGGGTGTGAGGGAGGGGTGAAGGCCGGGCAATGAGTGCACTGACGTGGCGGCTGGCGCCCTCAGAGGACCGGTATGGGATTAAAGCTCAGTGACACTAAGGGCTTGTGTGGTGCCTTCAGTTATCGGTAGCACCCTCAGAATAACCGGCGCAGGGCCCTCAGAGCCGCCGGTAAAGGGCCTTTAGAGTTTAGAGGCACTGGTGTGCAGGGCCGTCATGCAGGTGCCGGTGTGGGCACTCACAGGTGCTAGTGTGATTCTCTCAGAGGCGCCGGTGAGGGTCCTTACAGGCGTTGCTGTAGGTCCTCATAGACGCTGGTGTGGAGCCGTTCAGCTGCTGACGCGAGCTCTCTACAAGCCGGCAGGGGGTCTCAGTGACCGGCAAGGGGCCCTTAGGCCGACAGAAGAAGTCCTGTGGGGTCCTTAGAGACCGGCATGGTACTTTCAGACGCCGGTGGGGCCCTTAAAGTCACCGGTGTGGGGCCCTCAAAAGTCACCAGTGGATGGCCTTTAGATGCGCAGGTGCTGGTTGGGTCCTCGGGGCGCCGATATAGGGCTGTTAGGCACTGGTGTATAGGCACTCAGAGTTGGGGGTGTGAAACGCTCAGAGACACCGATGTGGCCGTGGGCCCTCATAGGCGCCGATGAGGGCCCCACAGTTGCCGTTATGGGCCCTCAGAAAAATAAGTGCGGGACCATTACAGGCGGGAAATGCCCCTAGAAGTGGCCCCTCATAGGCCGGCAAGAACTCTTAAGAGGCCAGTAACGGGCCTTTGGAGACCACCAAGGGGCCCTTAAAAGCCATAAGAGGCCCTCAGAAGCCGGCGTGGGGCCCTTATGGAGATCTTAGTGTGGCTATTTGGGGCCCATGAGGTACTCTAACGAGCCCCATGGGGCCCTTCTAAGTCGAAATATGGCAATCGTTAACCCTCAGCGGTCAAATGGCGCCGCAGGGCCCCTCGGACCCGAGGGTCCCTTTGAACCCGATGGGGGGGGGGGGGCACGTGTCCCCTTAGACCCCTAGCTACGCCACTGTTTCATATGCATCATGTCAGGTATTTTAGGCTCGCCCCCCCAACTTGAAAATCGTTCCCGGGCCCCTGGAAAACTAAAAAGCGAGCAAAAATGTGCTTGTTTACATAAGTCGTACATCGAATAAACGTTCTAGCAGCAAGTTGCAAATGTTAACAATATTATTACATGAAACGTGCAAACGATGCGAGGCAGTGTTTTTATCTGTGCTTTTTCAGTTTCCGTCGTATTGCCCACTTGTTTGTGGCTGTCGGGTGAACCGAAAAATAGATAATACATAAAGATACCGGCGCCGCAAATGAACGCCGGTAATGTTCAAGTGGTGTGGGACCAGACATGATTCTGATAAGCATCCGCAAAGTGGCCTATTCTGTAGAGCTAATAGATGAATTCTGAGAGTCAGCCACGAATTCGCTCTGAGTTTCTCCCGTCATTTTATCCTGCTGTGCTGGGGCTGCCATGTCGAACTGCGCCAAGGCGATGACCAGTGTGACGATGTCCTTCATGCTCTGAATAAACAGCTCTCTGCCGAGGACGAAGTAGCCGGACATGTTCATTGTGGCCTGCTGCTGCTCCAGCTTGTTCAGAATCTCGGTGAGCTCCGTGTCTTCCCCGGTGGCGCTGTTGGTCAGCAGGTGCTCACGCACCCGGTCAGCGGCCCGCTGGGAGTGGGCCGTCGCCTGGTAGCCGGCGTTGGTCGTCAGGTGCAGCAGCACGACCGGCAGTGGCGCCATCAGCCGAGCAAAGATCAGCTCCGCCAGTCCCTGCGGCCCTAACGGCTGGGTCAGCTGGATGTTCATGTAGATGGACGCGGAGAATTCGATCAGCGTGATGTAGACGTAGGCGGCGAGCATGCCGCCGAACGTGCCGCAGAACACGCCGGCTAGACGAGTGATGTGACCGTGCTGACGAGCCAGACGTCGCAGCTGCGGGACGTTGCCCTTCAGCAGCGCCGTCTGCAAGGGGGCCTCCAGGCTGCGATACATGTCCACCAGACTCCAGCTTGTGGCGTCCAAGATGGCAAGCCAACAACCCATGCCGTTGTAAATGGTGCTAGCGCTAATGCCGAACGCTACTTGAAACCAGACTGATTGCTGAGCATAATCTCTAGCTATATTAAGGGGAAACAGAACTGTCATGAGGGCAAAAAAAGGCGACATAATAGCGAATATAGCGACTGCTGGAACGATAGTCAACCGCCCCAAACTGCTCTTCATACTGCAAAAACGCAGCCAGGAAGCTCTCCAGTCGGGAGGCGTTCTTCCAGACCCAAATAAATATGCCCACCCAGCGCAGTGGGGGCAGAAAGAACTGTATCAAATTAAACACATCGACGGCCGAGGAGAACTTGACGAACAGCGTGTGCCGAGTGACGATGCAGAAGAGATACATGGCGAGCAGCGCGGTGAAGAGGATGGCACTGCGCGCTGCCGGCACCGAGCGCAGCCGCCAGGATCCGTTGGAGATGGAGACGGGCAACAGGCCGCAGATGGTGGCACCCAGCAGTGCCGGACGCATCGCTCGCAGGAACGAGCCGGTACCTGCGGAACGAAACTCTGTGTCTGGGTGTGTTCGTGGGCAGTCTGACGCTGATATGGCTGCGTTTGTATGCACACTGCCAATCCGGAATAATAAATTTTCGTCAGGTAATTTATTAATCAGCTCATGAACACAAATTTACAAATGATTACGGTAACATTACAACTTAATTAATTATTTTCATCAATATTGATTACTTTTTGTGGTGTTAGCATACCCACTCAAAATTCAAAAACTGCATTGGCGCTCCTTTTTAGACCAAATAGGTTGTACCTAATAAATTATGATCGTTGGTCATTATTGATGTTATGGGACTAAGAACAACTCCGTTGAAGAAATACGCTATGCCAAAATTATATTGATTTAATTCAAAGTTTTAAAATATATCAGTCACAGCCCTTCATCACTAGAAAAGTCAAAATAACACTTTTGTATCGTTTTTCTCGGTAAAACGA